CAACGCAAATTCAAAGTGCATGAAAATGACGACTCACCACAGCACCGAGCTTGATTTTCTGCAACCAGACGGTCCCATCTCGGGGTCATAGGAGACAATGACACCTCAAGTGTGTGGTTTATGTCCAGTCTACTTCGTAATTTTGTTTTCGTCGCCATTGCTGCAGAAACCCCCCAGCCTCACACAAGTAGGATGTCGGAAATAGCAACAGTGCTATTGTGGCGATCTCAGAGTATTCAGCCATAACTTTAATCCAGTTGTCTCGAACGTACTTTTAAGGCCACCGTCATTTGTGATCTCCAGCAGTTTTTTTTACTAATTTTGCGAGCTCCGGCGTTATGTTTTAAGCGTAATCGGTCACGTGACGAAGACGCGTGGATTGACGTGTGTCAAGCGTGACACAGACAGATGTAACGGAGAATCCGGTAGTTTTTCAAAATAAAACATCTTTCGTATTCCGAGATAAATCAAACAGAATTAAGGCAAGTTCTTTCTGTGCGGCCCGGTACCAAATGCCCGGCGGACCGGTGGTTGGGGACCACTGATGTATACAATGCAGAGGCGATTGCTCTAAGACTGCAAGGGAAGCTCAGCTTCCCCTAAAATGTCAAAAAGTAAGTCATCAAATACATGTGTGTACGTACAATTCTGTGGACATGTCATTGACTAAATGTGCACTACAATGCACTGAACTTTTATTCCGAATCAGGTTCTTATTACTGGTTACGACAGGACTCTCTTCTCATTCATTCCCGCAGCTTAACTGTGCTTGCAACTGTGTGGACACTGAGCCGTGCGGACGCTGGGAGTCTAGAGAGTTCAGAGCCCGTTGTCCCAATGCATTGAAACGAGATGAGTCATTGGATAAATGTTGGTTTTTTTCCCGCCCACGGACGCTCAGCGTCTCTGGGAGTCTATGGACAGTGGGTGTTTATAGGCTGGCCCGGAAGTCAGCTTTTCTGCATGATGATTGGATGATCTCTCTGAGGCTGAATCTATTTTTGATTGACAGCAAAATGAGGCAATCACCGATCTTATGGTGAAGGCATCCTTTTCATTTTTTTTGAAAAGGAATGGAGAGTACAATTCACGTATAAATAAACGGACACGTTTTATGATGTAGGCCGAAATTGAGCTTCCCCTCCTTGACAGACCAGCATCCGCCACTGATACAATGAAACCAAAGACCAAAAATTTGCAAAGGTAAATTTGGCAAGCTGCACAGAGACGAGGTGCGGAGACTGTCCACGTTGGTCAGTCCCTGAGCCGATCAGGATGCAGAACACAATTCACTGTTTTAAAAACAAGCATTACAAAAACTGCACTAAAACAAGTCCGTGAAACAGCGAAGCCGCGGAAGGTGAACCGCGTTATAGCGAGGGATTACTGTATACAGAGAGAAAGAGAGAAAGAGAGAAAGAGAGAGAGAGAGAGAGAGAGAGAGAGAGAGAGAGAGAGAGAGATGAAAAACCATAACTACCTTTATGTAGCACTGCATGCAGAGTTATCTCCTAGCAGTGTGACACCTTGTGAATTTTGCTGGGGTAATAACTTAAAATGACTACAGTTGTTATCGATGTGTACATATTAAACAATAACACTAATCGGTATTTTGGAGGTTTCAAATGTGAAACAAAGGGAATCAATCGATGCAAAGCCATTTGCAAAGCCAAATTACAAAAAAAGGTATTTTTACCATTTTACTATTGATTTACAATTTTTTTCATGTACTATATTTTAATGCTCTGTGGAACAACGGGCCGTCAGATTTCTTTTCTCATGTCCATTTTTAATCAGAGATTTGTATTTTTATTTTCTTAGGTTCTATTGTCTCTGAATCCAGGTAAAGTGAAAACACTTTAATGACCATCATTAATGAAGGAGTCTGGGGAGAATGCTGGATGGAATGACAAAGAAATGGGGTGTAAGTGGAGGCGAGAGTGGCAAAGTGTGTGTTTGTTCTTCAGCAACAGTCTGATGACAGTCTGGTTATATTTGCGCAAATCAGCATCGTTCTCATTCTAAAAAAAGAATTTGCCGGGTTGCATGTTGCATAGGAGGGAAAGCAGAGGAGGAAGAGGTGAAAACAGTTCAAGTGAGAGGGAAGAGATATTGGAAAAAAAGAAAAGATAATGGAGAAGTCGGGAGAAAAGTAAGTAAGGTAACAAAAGAGAAGGAGATGAATGGAGCAAAGCATGTCGCCCTACCTGCATAGAATTCTGGGCTGTAGACAGCACTGACCACTGGATTCAACTTCCAGCCTGAAAAAGAGAAGATAAAGATAGACACAGTTAATAACAATGAGCCAGTGGTTTAATGTTGGCAGTTGAAATGCTTAGCAGTGGTTTGCACTTCACTAAGTGCAATATTTCTGGAATCTTATTCATAAATTTAGGTACAGTGTGTAGAATTTATTGCCATTTTGTGGTGAACTAATACACTGCAATGACCTTAGCTTGAATCGTGTGCCTTTTGGGGCACATGCAATACAATGCCTCGGAGATACCACACTTCGCAAGCATACCACCGATTTCTTCTGCAGAGATGCGAGCAACATATCATCCCAAACGACTTCAAGCATTCCCTCAAGTGACGGAGTAAGTGCATGGCATTTGTTAAACGTGCTGTCGTCTTCGTGTTGAGGAACTGTGTTCCCTACGTTTGTCTCCTTCGGCTATCTGCAGCAGAAAGATGGCGGCGAAATATGGCCGCCTCCTGTACAGGAGGCGTGCCCTTAGTAATGTAATTAGCTATTATTTCAACTACAATTTCATTAAAAACTTACAATAATGTGTGACATTTTTTTGGCATATTATTGAAAATAATAGTGGATTTTTGAAATAATGAATAGTGAAAAAAACCCAACACATTTTTACACATTGTCCCTTTTAAGATTTTTAAATGTATGTAAAATGCAAAGACATTGGCACTTCTCCACCATACCGGGATCCAAGTCAGTTGAGGACTTTCACAAGTATTTTCTTATTCACTCGACACACTTAAGCTAATTTAAGAATTTTGATTTCAGGGCGGCCCATTGGAGGACTGGTTAGCACATCGGCCTCACAGGGCAGAGGTGCAGGGTTCGATTCTGGCTCTGGCCTTCCTGTGTGGAGTTTGCAGATTCTCCCTGTGGCTGTGTGGGTTTTCTCCGGGTATTCCGCTTTCCTCCCACATTCCAAAAATATGCATAGCAGGTTAATGGAACACCACCTTTCCCTGGAGGAACATGCCCGGCGGGTTGCGCTGGGTCTTTGTATCTATTGTAGAATGTCTGGGCGTTTCATTAATCAGTGCTCACTCCGACCCAAGAGTCCCCTTGCGGCCACTGAATGCTGCCTTAGGGTGAGCGACACAGAGAACTCTAGTGAATCTTCTCACCAGATTAAATTGCCTACCGCTATGTCGTCCTTCACAAACTTGGTCTCCCTTCAGCTAAATTCTCCATGTCCCTTTTCGACACGTCCCAACGAGTCTGTGACATTGATGGATGCCCCCTGTTTGCACACCAGACCATCACTATCTCACCATTTCGGGTAACCATCAGGAGCACATCAAGTTTTTGTTCCTCCCTTCTCTTTCTAAATCAGCATTGTTCTCTGGTTAAGACTTCCTAACCTGCACAAAGACTGGCGGCCCTCATCCATAGTTAGTTGGAGCACTTTCTGTCATGCCATTTTTAGCGTTCTGCATCTGCAACATCCATTATTCTTCCTCTCATTTCTCTTCCCCATCTTTCTTTGGTTCCTCCGTGAATATCATGACTTCGGGGGGGGGGGGGTGCTTCGTAAGTCCCAGGCAGGCAGTTGCATATATGCTTATATGTTATATTTTATATTGCATTCTGTATTGCGTACAGTTCATTTTTAAATTTATTTTGTGGATGCAAATACTTCATTTTTTTTCTACTTTCTTCCCTCCAAATATTGCTGCTGTAAACTGCAAATATCTCCATTGTGAGACAAATAAAGGTTATCTTATCTTATCTTATCTTATCTTCCCTTCCCCCTCACAAACCGTATGACTGTGCAATCAACTTACTCCTTGGAGCCTCCCTACCTTATAATAGACTTTACAACCTGTCACCGCCTAGAGGAAGTATCTCAGTGACTCTTTTTCTGTCATTTCTCTCGGTGCTGGATTTTAATTTGTAGACAAAAAAGACAAGACCGTACGACTATGCATCGACTTGAGGACAAAATGACATCACCATAAAGAATAAGTATCTGCTCAGCCTCATCGACTCCTCGTTTGAGCCTTTCAATCAAGCCACCATTTTCGCTTTACTAGAAGGTCGCAACACATCATTTGGTGCGAATCCAGGAGGGAGATGAGTGGAAAACAGCCTTTTGGATTGCCCTTGGCCCCTTTGAATACTTGGTGATGCCTTTTGGTCTCACTCATGCTCCACCCATAATTAAAGCACTCATTAATGACGGTCTCCGAGATATGCGTCACCAGTTTGTGTATGTTTATCTTGATGTCATTTTGATTTTCTCTCAAAATGCAGAAGAACACGTCCAGCATGTTAAATGAATTCTGCAGTGCCTCCAAGAAAACAAACCTTTGTCAAAGCACAAAAACACCTCTATTATTTTTCTTGGCTAAATCCTTGCCCGTGGCCAGTTCCTAGCAAGCAGCTTAAGCAGTTCCTGGGGTTTGCCAACTTCTGCAGGAGGTTCATATGTGACTACAGCAAGGTCACCACACACCTCACCCAACTCACCTCTATAGCCTCTCTATTTGCATGGACCCCCAAAGCTGACACTGCCTTCAAACGCCTCAACCAACTGTTCACCTCTGCCCCGGTCCTCATCCATCCTGATCCTGCTCTCCAGTTCGTCATCGAGGTGGATGCTTCGAACTCCGTGCTCTTCCAGAGATGTTCTGGAGATCAAAAGGTACATCCCTGTCAATTCTTTTCACGCAAATTGTTCTCGGGGAGAGAAACTGTGATAGCAACCGTTAAACTGCCCTTCAGGCAGTTGAGACATTGGCTGGAGGGAGCTGAAATCCCCTTGCTGGTACTAACAGATCACAAAACACTCGCGTTTCTGCAATTTGTCAAGTCCCTAAATGCCTGTTAGGCTCTTTGGATCTTGTTCGAAGGATGCTATCATTTTTCCTCTATCTTACAGTTCAGGGTCCCATAATGTGAAGCCTGATGCTCTCTCTTGCACGCATGATCCATCTTCAGAGAGCGAACAAGAGAAGGAAATCAACAGGCAAACTGGTCCAGCATCTGCAATGATGTAGACTCTGCAGTGGTCCATCATGTAGAAGAACGACATAAGCTGAGAGGTGACATTCTTGATTTAAAGTTCGATCCACATCCCCACCCTCACATATGGTCACAAACTGTGGGTTGTGACCAAAAGAACAACATTACAGATACAAGCGACTGAAATGAGTTTGCTCCAAACTCAACTCAGGTCTCAGAGGTCTACTTTAAGACATATGATAAGAAGCATGGCCATCTGGGAGAGGATCAGAGTAGAGCCACTGATCCTCCTCATAAAGAGGAAACATATGAAGTGGAATCTGGTTGGGATGCCTCCTGATGTTCAGGCATTTTCAACCGGGAGGAAGCCCCGAGGGACACCCCAGGACACAGAATATGGTTAGGCTGGCTATTTGCCCGCGGATACGTGGAAGAAAATGGATGGATGGGGGCATAGAGATAGATGAAAAAAGTGGTCCAAACTTTCTCGCTTTTTAGTTAAAGGTGAGTCGGAACTCATTCAGTTTGTTAAAATATGCAAAAGAGACATTCTCCCACTCCATCCCCCCGCATGTACACTCTATTTAAAATGTCTTGCTTAAGTTAATGTTACATTATTTCCTTCTCAGCCCAAACACAATGCTACCCACCTACAGTAGGTGCTTGAGCACATTTGGTGTGTATGTGTGCACTTAGGCAACCTTACCATTTGCATATGGGTTGACAGTCTTCTTATTTGTCATTACTCGAGCTGTTGCATTGTTGACCTACAGCAGGTAGAGAGAAAATTTCACGAGTTATGAGAGTTGCATAGCGTTAAATAACAGATTGTGAAAGTCGGCATGCATTGTCCCCTTGTGTTGTGAACAAAGAAACATTTCAAAATGGAAGCAGCACACTGTATCATGTCAAACATTCATGTCATTTATGTGTTTTCACAGTTGCATTCAGAAACACTGAAAAAAAATCTAAAAAAAAATCACCTGTCCTTCTATTTGCATATTTTCTATTTTTTTTCAACATGCGTTCCGCTTAGAGTGACATTTCAGTAAATATAAAGACAAAAGTAAAGAAAAAAATACAGATGCATATGGGCAATTTGGGTCATTTTGTTTTGTGAGCACAGATGCATGCAGAGGGCAGGGGAAAAGAAGAAAGAAAAAAAAACAAATATCAATAGGGCGAGGAGGAAGAAAATATGCCGGCAGCATTGTGCAACATCCAGTCAATCTTGGAAAATGACACAATTGTGATGAAAGCACTAAAATGCATTCACACTTGGACAACAGCCTTTCTACTTGCATTAAAAAAAATAAATAAAATAATTAAAACCCCAAAGAACATAGATACTGTAATCAAGTCAATCAATCAACCATTCAACACATTCCAAAATCGAAATCAAAGTTAACAGGGAAAATTAAAATGCGGGTGCATTATCGTCAAACAAAAGTTTCCAAATTATTTTCCAACAATCTCCGATAGATGTGCAAATGAATCATGTCTCAGTCAAGATCGCTTGTACACGCAGTTACAGGAGAACACTTGTCACTCAAGAAAATATGTCAATATACAGCATCAACCCAATCACAATTCAAAAAGAAATGTCACGTGAGATTTAGCGTTGCAAACGTTCAAGAGAGGAAGAGAGAGAGGAAATGCTGGCAGAATGGCTGGCTCGCCCACACTTACCATTCCCAAACCTTTTGGCCCCGCCCACTTGTTTGTGTACTGTTACCGTTGTAACTTTGTTGGATGGGGGGCCCTAAACAAGCTACCATTGAAAGAATGGTGGGGGAAGGAGGGGATGAGAAAGGAATAAGCATCATCGTATTCAGTGGCGAAGAACACTTTGCAATCATACCACTGCACAAACTCTCTCTTTCAGCTCTCCACTTTTTTTTTTTTTTTTGTTTTTTAATTCAACCATAATTCAGGGCAGTCTTTGTTGTGTCCGTTCATCATTGTGGCCAGCTGGGATGGAAAGACAACAGTCACTTCTAAAAAAACTAGAAGGGGTGTGGGTGTGTTGGAGTATCGGGAAAATCAATGCAATGACTTCCCACCTGTAGCTGGTAATCATAATATAAGAGTGTCTTCATATATGGAGACCCTTGGTTAAAATAAGACAAACTGGAGTGTCCATTTCATCCATACTCAAACCCTAGAGTGCATCAAAAAGGCTGCTTGAAGAGATGGGTCAACAACCTGGGACAACTTCAGGACAGTGAAGCTGAACCAGTGTTAAAATGTCATGGAAATCAGAATGAAAACATGAATATACAACAGTCAACAGTGTGTACTCTATTGTCACTGGAAGACCTTTGATAACATACTGCTCATCTGTGTGTGCACTTGTAGAAAGATGTTTAAGATATTTGCAACATCTCAGCTGGTAAATAAATAAATAAATAATAAAAAGTCCAAAAAGCGCACATGTAATCCAGTGGAAAATCTTAGTGTTGTGGTTTTATCAGGTCGGGTTTTATCACACAAGGTGAAATAAATATTTTCATAACTGGATTGTAGGTTCCTTGGTGCTTGTGAAAAAATGTACCTATCATGAAAACCTTTATTTCAATAATACTATTCAAAAGTGAAACTTGCGCAATGCAAGCATTCATTCCACACAGATTGATACTTTTCAGGTGTTAATTCATTTTAATTTAGATGATTTAATTTAGCTGACCTCACAGTGTAGAAGTGCAGGGTTTGATTCTGGCTCCAACTTTCCTGTGTGGAGTTTGCATGTTCTACTGTGCCTACGTGGGGAGGGAGCGAGAGATCGACAGGCGGATTGGTGCAGCGTCTGCTGTGATGCGGACTTTGTATCGGTCTGTCGTGGTAAAGAAGGAGCTGAGCCAAAGGGTGAAGCTCTCAATTTACCGGTTGATCTACGTTCCAACCCTCATCTATGGTCACGAGCTTTGGGTCGTGACCGAAAGAACGAGATCCCGGATACAAGCGGCCGAAATGAGTTTTCTCCGCAGGGTGTCCGGGTTCTCCCTTAGAGATAAGGTGAGAAGCTCGGTCATCCGGGAGGGGCTCAGAGTTGAGCCGCTTCTCCTCCACATAGAGATGAGTCAGATGAGGTGGCTTGGTCATCTGATTAGGATGCCTCCTGAACGCCTCCCAGGTGTTCCGGGCATGTCCCACCGGGAGGAGACCCCGAGGACGACCCAGGACACACTGCAGAGACTATGTCACCCAGCTGGCCTGGGAACGCCTCGGGATCCCCCGGGGAGAGCTGGAAGAAGTAGCTAGGAAGAGGGAAGTCTGGGCTTCCCTGCCAAAGCTGTTGCCCCCGCGACCCGGCCCCGGATAAGCGGTAGAAGATGGATGGATGGATGGATGGATGGATGGATGGATGGGTGGATGGGTGGATGGGTGGATGGATGGAACTTTGCTCTGATGAAGTTTATGCATGACACCCCAACCTTCATGACAGAATCCCAAGTTAATACTTTGCAGCACAGTACTCGCCGGTGAATTTGAAACCCCGTTCTTCCATCTCCCGGTTCATGCGTCCTATTAGACTGCCGAGATGCCCACAAATTTGCAGTTGCGCTGTGTCCTGCATGTCCGTGATCTCATCCAGTGCTAATGAAAATAATTCAAATTCTTTCGCCTTTTGCTGCTGCTGGGCATATACTTTACCCACGATTTCTTCTATACGTCTGGCGATTGTACTCGCTGATAGACTTGCGGTGTGAAAGACGTCTTTCTTCTTGGGACACACCTACTCTGCGACAGCATTCATGCATTTCTTGACACACTCTCCATCAATATAAGGTTTACCGCTACTTGCTATCAGTTGAACAACCCGAAAGCTAGCCCGAAATGACGGCTGGTTCAGCTGAGTTTGGCGTACAAATGTATTTTGCTGAGCTAACGTTCCTCTTTTTAGCTTTTACAGTTTGTCTGCTCGCATTTGGCCATTGTACTTGTCTTTGTGACGGGATTCATAGTGTCTCTGCAGATTGTACAATATTCACTGAATATCGCTACCGCCTCCTGACAGATGAGACACACAGCCTTTTCTTTGCATTGAAAACAAATAATAATAATCGTTTCTCCACTTTGGGTTAAATACCCTGCATTCTGAATCATTTTTTTCTCTTACGTTAACTTTTCGCCATGATTACGATTTCTTTGAGAGGGGCAGATTCAGGATTTTTTTCTGGGGTTGGCAGATAATGGCACAGACCGCAGAAAGATGGAACAAATGTCGCGTTATATGTTTTTAATGAAAGAGTTTCTAACTAAAAGTTAATCATGAAAATAGTCCAGAACTCAGGAAGACTTTATTGCAAAAGCCCAACTTTATGATCAAATATAAATACACATAGATGAAAAATAACTCAAAATACTCTCTAGTATTGTTCAGGGGGGCCGGACCAAATGCGGAGGCGGGTAGGATGCTGCCCGCGGGCCATAGTTTGGGGACCGCTGCTTTAGACTTACGCTTGTGTGTCTTGATTCTAACTCTGCTGGAGTAACTGGTACTGTACTATTATTTGGAACTGCACTGGACCGAGCAATTGTGGGAATATTTATTGCCCACCGTTTAGCACCTGTACATTGGGGTTCAGCCCACTAGATGACAGGATAGCGTCCCTCTGCCTACGGTTGGTGGGGACGAGTACTGACTGTTGTTTGCACCTATGCAACAAGCAGCAGTTAAGTGTAGCCACCCTTTTTGGAGTCCGTCGAGGGGTTGGAGAGTGCTCCATGATCGGAGGACTTCTATGCTCACATGGACATTGACAGTGGCTACATTTACATGCCACCAATGTTCGTCTAAATTCCGGTTTCTGAAACATTCAGCATAAGCCGTTTACATGTCTCAGCAGACTCCAGTCAACATGGTAATTGTGATCGAGTGGAATATCCCCATCGAAACTGCAACACACAGACAACGTCATAGACGGCTTTTCCGCCTCATTCAACCATCAAAAAAAGACATTGTATTCATGTCAGTCATCACACTAATAAAGTAGTCAGTTTCATCCTCACTCCAAAAGTGTGCTTCTGTGCTGTGTCTTGAGTTTTGCCACGTTGGTTTACCTATGCTTGTAGAAAAATATACAAGTTGTTCCTGTACTTAAAAAAAAAAAACCATCCTCCCGTAAAGAGCATGCGCAGAACGCAAACCAACTTTCCATTCCATTGAGGTCGAACCAATACGCGTTCATCCGACCAAATATTCAGATTAAAAAATGAGTAACTCGTGTCTTATTCAGTTTTTGAAAAAAACCTGAATATGAGCATACTTGAGCGTATTTTCGGGAGTGTTTCCATGGCAATGGGCAAACCCCGATATTGCTCATATTCAAAAGGGTTATTGACTGCAAGTAAACGTAATCGTAAGACCTGGAAGGATGTGACTGGGACTAATACCAACTATGGGCGGATCACATTCTATAGCCTCCCGGTTGGTGGAAGGGAAATTAAATCTCAGATTCTTGAGGAGCAGTGTGTATTATGTCCCAGCCGTTTATCAGTGGACCACAACCTCGGCAGGGTCCTCAGAGGTGCAAATGAGTCTGCCCAAACAATCTACATATGTTTTGTGGACTTGGAGAAGGCATTCTGTGGGAGTTCTGTGGGGGGTACCTATAGAACCAATGTCAAAGTTGATCAGTATTCATCAGTCCATTATCCGAGCCGCTTATCCTCACGAGGGTTGTGGGCGTACTGGAGCCTATCCCATTCGTGATCGGGCAGTAGGCACGGTACACCCTGAACTGCCTGCCAGCCAATCGCAGAGTTTGATCTGTATTGCCTCAAGTAAGTCCTTTTCAGTGAGGGATGGACTCCGTCAAGGCTGTTCTTTGTCATCAATTTCATTCATAACATTTACAGACATAATTTCTAAGCACAGACAAATCAGAATCAGAATCATCTTTATTGACCAAGTATGTAGAACACACAAGAAATTTGTCTCCGGTAGTATAAGCTGCACAAAGCGCGGTGAGGGTCCAGTTTGAAATGGAGCATGAGATTGACAGGCGGATTGGTGCAGCATCTGCATGATGCAGACTCGATTGCTCTGTTGTGGCGGAGGAGGAGCTGAGCCGAAAGGCAAAGCTTTCAATTTACTGCGGGGGAAATAAGTTCCCACCGTCGGGTCACTGACCTCTCCCGTAGCGATACGGTTTAAAAGTCGGTCATCTGAGAGCAACACACGTGGAGTCGACCCGCTGCTCCTTTGAGGTGGCTTGGGCATGTGGTTAGGATGCCTCCTGGAAGCCTGCCACCCTGGTGAGGTGTTCCAGGCATGTCCCACCCCAGAGAAGGCTCCAAGGACAAGACTCAGGACGTTCTGAAGAGACTATGTCACTTGGTGTGCCTAGGGAATGCCTTGGGATTCCCCTGGAAGAGCTGGATGAAGTGGCTGGGGAGAGGGAAGTCTGGGGTTCCCCGCTCATGCTGTTGCCCCCGCAACTCAACCTTGGACAAGTGGAAGAAAAAGGATGGACGGATGGACGCATCTGTTGAGGAAGCTTGTGGTTCTATGTTAACCCCCAGCAGTGCTAATTAAAAATTGTGGGCCCTCTTCATCACTTAAGTTGCTCTTGAGCCTTGTTTACAGGTTCTTCTTCTTCCTCTTATCATAATATTAATAATAATAATAATAATGTGGGAATCTTCCAACTTGCAATGTGTATTTTAAATTGGATCTCATTTTTCTCCATTTTCTAGATGCGATGAAAACAATATCACCAGACTATTTTAATATTATATTAAATAGAAATTGGGATTCGATTCCTGATATTCCATCAATCAGTAGTTGTTCTGCCCATGATTTCACTTCAATATTTTTGGGCAGAAAAGAGAGCCCTTTGTATCAAGCCTGTCATCGACTGGACTTTTCTTCATCATGCCCCCAGGCCAAATTTGCATGAGAGCTATCAAGCAAACTTGTATTTGCGTTTTGTAAATGTTCTGCGTGCAGACGACATTACCAAAAAGGTCCCCATTTTCTTGGAGACACTGCCAAAAGGTAGTGCGTACTAACTGCTTATTCTCCTGGTTTTAACCAAAAGCATATTTCTAATATATTCAACATGTGAATATACGTTATGGAAGTCATGTGTCTCCACTGACCACAGTAAATCAACACTCACGCATGACACGTTATCAAACTCACGATCTTGAGCAGCCCATGTAACAACAATAATAAACGTGAGCTACTCTCGCTTGTGCACTTCCCATAATTCAGGAATTTAGTCATGAATTGTAACTCCAGCAATGGAGAACATGATCACTTTGAGACGCGATAAAGCCGTCGTGTAAATGAGGGGCCAACACAAGAGTTTCTATACATTCTCATTAAAAATTGTATTTTGTAAACGTGGCCTGAGTCAGCTGGGAAAGGCTCCATTTTCCATGTGATCGTGAAAAGGAAATATAGTGGTGAGAGAAGATTGATTTTTCTGCTTTTCTTTGCAGCACTTTGGTCAGCTAAAAATCCAAAGCATCTACAAGTTTTCAAAATACAGCTCATAATTCTTTGGGGGATTTATTCAGCATGAGGCAAACCTAATGTTTTTTTGTTATGTTTTAATTATGCACACAAATAAAAACAGTCTGCTACTGTACTGTCCTGTGTATGTTTTTTTTTTAATTAATTAATTTATTTTTTTTAGGAAAGCTGCAACCACAGACAAAACTAAAACCTTGGATGACTTTTGAATGCCATTTCACAAGAAAGATAAGATAGGGTGTTGTGGTCGACTGTCAGATGCTCACTTACACATACATCAATAGGGGACAAAAAGGACAAGGAGAAGAGAAAGAAAGGCTTGAACACAAGTACCTCTATTTTACGACCTTCGACCACAGTGCCGTGTAATTTCTCCCTGGCCCTGTCGGCGTCCATACTATGCTCGAATGTTACGAATCCAAAACCCTGCATGGAAAAAAGGTGAAAGCACCAGGGGCAAAGCACAATTTTATAATCAAGCAACAAATCAACAACAGTGTAAAGCTTAGAAATGTGTACTCTCTGACATTTCAACTATAATAATCCTGATAAATTTGCTATGTAGCATTTATGTGTGTGTGTGTGTGTGTGTGTGTGTGTGTGTGTGTGTGTGTGTGTGTGTGTGTGTGTGTGTGTAACCACAGAAAGGTTTACATTAGCAAATAGAAAATGCAAAATGAAATCATTAAGCACCTCTGATAAACTCGCACGGCACTGTGCAAAACAAGTGGCAGACAAAATTATTCCAAGGACAATATCTCAATGTTGCCATATTGATCTGTCATGACTCTTCAGTTTGTTAATTTAATTGAAGGGGGAGATATTTAATTATCTTTGAACACCCACACCTTATACAGAATGTAAAATATATTCATCAATACAAAAATGCTGTTCTTCATTAATGATGTTAGTTTATCATTGAGTAAATCTTTTTGCTCTGGACTGAAGCAGTTCAATTGTATGACATTGGGAGATTGGAAACACTTAGGCATACTGTCTTTTATTTTATTTATGCATTTCTTTTATTTTTTTACTTTGGACTTATCAAAGCTATCTAGAATATAACAAATGTCCAATGGGCAGACTACCATTTCCACAATCTCTACATGCTCATTCATAAGTATCTGCTTTCTGTCTGGTTTCATCAATCTGTAAGTGGGATTTTATTTTAGAGAAACCCCAGTATGTGCACAAGAAAACTACTCCAGCCAAAGGTTATGACTTTCATCTCATCCCATCCAGGGCCACCATCAATTGCCTGATTTATTTGACACACAATTTGCCCTTCCGCACCAACCCACCGATTTGGTCTTCGTGACCAGCACGAGCCAACACGGCACTGGCTGGGAATTTTAACCACGGCAACTGCATGAAACACATCTGTCACTACACTACCAAGGCCGATTCCAGGTAAAATTAACGGTGACATGCTAAGAAAAAAATAAAATAAAAATCACAGACCTTAGAACCACGCTCGTTGAAGATGATTTCCACATCTAAGATTTTGCCAAATTGCTGTTATTAAAAAGAAAAAACAGTGATTAATTGTGAAATAAGTAGGGATCAAATTAACAACAAAAACACAATTAATTTACTTGTACAGTGATCCCTCACTTATCGCAGTTTATGGGGACAGAGATCCCGCGCGAAGTGAAAAACTGCGATGTAGGGTGTGCCCCCGCCCCGAAGGAATTTTTGTGTAAGGGTTTGTGGGTAGCAGCATGTTTAAAATCTGTAAAGAGTATTTATACTTTACATATTTGAGACAAAGACTAAAGCAGTACACGTATTTACTTAAATCTTTAATTATAAAACCTTATACAGTAATTAACATTCATCAGCATTGCCTTCTGAGAGAAGCGAAGAGACTTGTGCTGGTGGCATAGAAGGCGGCCCTCATTTGAAGCTCTGACGGTGTAGCCACCGTTAGCCTCCAGCTAGCTCCTGGCCGGCTATCCCCGCATGTTAATGATAAGACAATTAATCGGTAGGAGACCAAGAGAGACGTGCTGCTGCTTTCGGATAGGTCCACACCCGACCCCTCTCTCTCGCAACAAGAAGAGACAGTATGCCAGAGATTCACCAGCTGGGCGGGGCCGTGAAGATGCACAGCCAATCAGCTCACGGGATAAATCCACTCGGTGCTGTCATTGATCGATGTCGCATCAGGAACCAATCATGCGCCTTGAATGAGTGCCCGCTGCATATACAGCACGGGCATGTACAAAACCTCCGAGTCATTCAGCCTTTTTTTCTGAATGCAGAACTTTGGAAAAAGCACTGAATCCGCAATAAGTGAATCACGAAGTAGCGAGGGATCACTGTATAGAGTACAATTTTCCACACTTGTTCTGATAAAATATATAAAAGTGAACCTGAATTTCACTCCCATGTATTGTACTCACACCAAACATTTGCCTGAGGTCTGGGTCTCTGAACCTGAAGGGGATGTTGGAGACATGAAGTCTTTTGGGTTGGGCCTTGCTGTCTGTGCTCTCAGGTGCAGTCTGTGTTGGTGGATGACTATCTGTCTGTGCTGGATCATCTGTCTGCTAGAGAAAACAATCAATTACCAAACTGTAGAGATGGGAACATTTTGAAATAATCCATCCATCCATCCATCCATCCATCCATCCATCCATCCATTTTCAACACCATGTATCCTGAACATGGTCGCGGAGAGTTGCTGGAGCCTATCCCAGCTGACTTCGGGTGGAAGGCAGACTATGCCCTGAACTGGTCACCAGTCAGTCGCAGGGCACATAGATAGACAAACATCCATTCACACCCACATTCACACCGTCACAAAGTGGGAACTGATACCATGCTGCCCGCACACTACCACTACACCATCAGCGACCATTTTGAATTCATAATGAAATTAAAAAAAATCCACAGTGTCCATATATTTTGGAATGCTCTCATTCTGTCTTTTAATATCCCATTACTTAACGTTCTTAAGCGCTATTTTGTGAGAGCTGCCACACACGATGGGACGTGACAGATGTGACTGAACTGTTGCCCCCATGTGCAAGATTCTGCAACTAATTTTCCTGAGTGGCCGACCATGCGCAAACCGTTTTGCAAATTCAAATTTAAATCACAGGTGAACTGCGTAGCTATCTATCTATTGATCGATTGATTGATCGATCAATAGATACATCCATCCATCGATCCATTTTCAAATCTGCTTATCCTCACGAGGGTCTCAGGTGTGCTGGAGCTGATCTCAGCTGGCCTCCGGCAGTAGGCGGGGGACACCCTGGACTGGTTGCCGACTAAAAGCAGGGCACCCATAGACGAACAGCCATTCGCGTTCACAATCATACTGAGGGACAATTTAGAGCAGCGGTCTCAAAATCACAGCCTGCGGGCCATATGTGGCCCACAGGATGCACATTTGAGGCCCCTGCGTTGACATGAAAGTTTGATATTAGTGTGTCCCGCGTGAGTTTGATACACATGCTGTATGTGTTAGCACTACCTCGGTGCTAAATAGTAAGATCTAATTGACATGTGCAGTCACCAACACACACTCAAACAGACAACTACTTTGTGAGCTCTGCGCAGCCATCATGAAACGAAGATAATACCAAAAGCATGGTTAACTACTGACTAAATGAAGGAAGAAGGAGACAAGCAAGACTTCTAAGGATATTTAAGCCCAATGTGGATGTGAGCCCAGGAGGTTTGTGTGCCTTGTTATTGAATCAATTGTCTTCATAACTTTTGTCTTTCATTTATTGTTTTGTAATGCCATTTGTATTTGTATGTTTGATGTCGGTGTTTGTGACCAGCTCGAATGGCTTTGTTACAACTGCAGCGGTTGTGAAGGCTCTGTTTTAATCAAGCTGTATTGTATTGTATTGTGTTGTATTCCCTTTAGTGTAGCTTCATCTAGTGGATGCATAGCGCAACCCTAGCCACTACTGTATGCACTTTCTAATGCAGTGCACCCTCTATATGTCAACAGTTTTAAAATAGGCCAAATCATTGAAGGTGCGCCTTATAATCCAAAGCCCCTTGTAGTGCAGAAAATATGGTACTTAACTACAGTATATTTATAACTTCATACTGTATGTACCTGTGGCTAAAATACAAAACAGTGGAAGTTTCTTTTGCCAACCTACACATGTGGAGTCAATGAAATGGGTCATCATTGCCAGCGGCTTCTAAAATATCCACATACTCTCTTTTATTGTTTGCCCATCTCCTCTCTTTGTATAATTGTAATAAAACCACAACAGCCAGGGCAAACCACTTATTTCTAGACAAAAACACCATGTTTGTAGATTAATAAAATATAACATAGTATGTACAAAGTATGTGTGGCCTCAAAAAGTTTTCCTTGATAGAAACACCAGGGTCATTTTTTCCATTGCAGCGTCAACATCTGTAATTGTTGTTCGGTTGTGCGGCGTTGGGCTAGGATGCTCGGTGTGCGGCAGGCCTTCAATGAAAACGCCACTCCCAAAATAGATTGAGGATGTGAATGTATTTAAAAAAAAAAGGAGACAAGTTGGGCGGCCCGGTGTACCAGTGTTTAGTGTGTCGACCTCACTGTGCAGAGGTTGTGGGTTCGATCCTGGCACCGGTCTTCCTGTGTGGAGTTTGCATGTTCTCCCGGGGCCTGCGTGGGTTTTCTCCAGGTACTCTGGTTTCATTCCAAAAAACATGCATGGCAGGCTGATTGAACACTCTAAATCAGGGGCCGGGAATCTTTTTGACTAAGAGAGCCATGAAAGCAAAATATTTGGAAAAGTATTTCAGTGAGAGCCATATATATGTGTGTGTGTGTGTGTGTGTGTGTGTGTGTGTGTGTGTGTGTGTGAGCGTGCGTGGGTGGGTGTGTGTGTGTGCATGTGTTTGTTTGTGTAGTTTTAACTGCTGTTACATAACAGTACAGCTCCATACAGAAATCCGATGTCTGATTCAACTCAAGTGATGAATTCGACTAAAATCCGCATCTTGATTATTTTAAGAGGCTGACATATAGTACTTTGTAATTTGTACATTTATAAAACACCAACCCTGAAAAATTAAATCTACTGGTAAAATAATTCTCAAACACATCCACTATGGTGGATGCGCAAACATCGGTTCCAATGGCTTACCCGGACCTCAGCAGATATTTGTGGCTCCAGTTGATTCTTTTACGAAATGGGTTAAAATGGCTCCTTAGTTATCTAGACTAATGTAATTTGTCTCTCTCCAATCGCCTTGCTATGACCCCAGTGACAGTCTAAATGCGAAATATAGGAAAATAAACATCACCGAATAAAATTGCGATCACGAGTCACCAAAATTGATGTTGACATCTCAATTTATGCTCACATCAAACATTTTATGGCTATGGCGTTTTCCTCTTCATTGAGGTGCTGTTAGAGGAATCTATGGGCGAAATTGTATCATGTTTAAGTTTCATTTGATCTGTGCACGTTGAAGCGTCTGGGTACGTAATTCGCACCCCCAAATTCCTGTTCAGAAGGTGCCGGCCGTTTGGGCGGAGGGCTGTTGCAGCCCACACCACAATTAACACATCAAGGCGGGTGGGCGATCAGAGGAGAGAGGGCCAGATCCGGTCACAAAGTGGGAACGAGTAATTTGGGAGCAGCGGTTGAACAACAAAAGACGATTTGAGGACACCCGTCACGCCCAGGCGACATTTGTCGTCCGCAAAGTCTGCGATATGTTGATACAGTGTAGACCAGACCGAAAGGCGCCAAAGTGCCGGTGGTTCAAAGCTCACACCCAGGTAACCAATCACCACCGAGGGGCCGGACCAGGGGTGCGGTATGCAAATATCGGGGGCAGTGTTTTTCTTGTATTTTGCATATGTCACAATAAAGGTTCGAACTCGAGGAGGGGGGGCTCTGAGCGTGATCACGGAGCAACTAAACCGTCATTCGCTCTCAGAGATACGCTTCCGTCGATATTGAAGACAATTTTCCTGTGTGCCGAGTTGTTTCTTTAACTTTGTCCGAGAAAATCTCTGACAGGTGCTCACTGCAAAGCTTCGTGAGGAAAACATTTCTTTCGTCCATAAAAGACACAATAATGGGGCGATATTTTTAGAGATTTTGGTGACGAGTGGTTGCAGCTTTCTGATATATGAAATGATGTCAGCTTTTTTACATTTATGTTGAGTTTTAGACTGCTACCCCAAGGGCTAGTCTACCACAGCGTCCTCGACTTTTGTTTTTTACAATCATATATATATATATATATATATATATATAT